CTCTCTCTCTCTCTCTCTCTCTCTCTCTCTCTCTCTCTCTCTCTCTCTCTCTCTCTCTCTCTCTCTCTCTCAAACACACACACACACACACACATGCTGTTTTTGAGTGTATAACGAATATGACAACACACACACATACACAAGACGAACGATGAACACAGCAGTCCGAGGAGGAAGATAGACTTCTATATGAACCACCGGCAGAGCGATGTGCTCATAGTTTATCACCACCAGGGCGAGCTGTTGCAGGATCATATCCTGCAGCAGCTGAATGCCCTTGCGTTGGACCGATCCTCCCTGTCGCCGTCTGCCCATAGAGAAGGAATATATACTGAGGAAGCCCAAGAAAGATTCATGCCGTTTTGTGACGACCCGCCGGAGATTCAACTAGCATGTGGTTCACATGCCTTGTGCCGTGAGGATTATGAAGGCATAGTCCATGCGAGTACTGTACTCATGTACGGCACCCCGACATGTCATGTCCAATTTGTATCCAGCAATCTATGAATCAAAATTACGTACGTTCAACCACTACAATGAAACAAAATAGTGTACGGTAATCTTTTTTGAACATGTTGTGTTTTTTTCTTAATAAGCTCTCTCTCTTATTTTCATCAATTTTGATTGGCTTTTTTTTGCATCCACAGCGTATTTTATTGAAAGCCAGAAACAAATGGCTGCATGCCATGTTTTCAGGGAAAAAGGTTTTAGGAACTTTTAGCCTTTAGGGGATATGTGTATAGATATCCTAGTCACCAGATGCAGAGGCGATAGGATATAGACCTGCAAGACCACCTTTTTTCTGTGTGTGTGTGGGGGCGGGGGGGCGGGGAGGCCTTCTGCATGTACCATACCCGCCAGATGTGAAGGTATTTGAGCTTGGTTAGAATTTGGGTGACGGTGCATAGAGTGTGCTCTTTGACTTGCACCGCTAGCGGGTGAAAGAGGAGTTGACTTGTCCCGAACACAGTTCTTTTTTTTTTTTGACAAATACTCGCCCACCAGTGTTAGTGGTGCTGATAAGAGCAGACACCACTAGCACCTGGGGAGGGGCTCCATCTATTGGCGGGGAGCATCACCTGTTGGAAAGCGGGTCCAGCGTCCCTTATACAGACAGACTGAAATTGAATACATCAGGAGAACAATTGTGTGGTATTCCTGCCAGCATTCATTACCCTGGGATCTAGGGGATTGACCGAGCAGGATGTGGGGGGGAAAGGGGAACCTCTTCACCCTGAAACTGGCGCCCGATATATCACTAGACACTAGTTCCTCCCTTCCCCTGGCGCCCGATATATCACTAGACACTAGTTCCTCCCTTCCCCTGGCGCCCGATATATCACTAGACACTAGTTCCTCCCTTCCCCTATGCCTTATTGGATCCACGCTAGCTGGAAACCGGGTCCAGCGTCCCATAACCTGCCTGAGTGCCATGAAGAGGAAACAGAGGGGACCACTGGGGGCCACCAGCAGGAGCTCCCTACGTCTCTCTTTTGGCACTTGGCACTCCCTTATTCTAACATAGAACAACCATCCCTCACCTAAAAAACTCCTTTGACTCCTGCTGCCTCTCCACCTCCTGCCATTGATCGCTTCCAAGCTAGGTACTATGAAGCCATAGTCCTTATATCCGTATTTCCATTAGGAGGCCTCTCCACCTCCTGCCATTGATCGCTTCCGAGCTAGGTACTATGAAGCCATAGTCCTTATATCCGTATTCCCATTAGGAGGGGAACATGGGGTGGGAAGGTCGCCAGGGTTCAGCCATAGACCTTATGTCAATATTTCCATCAGGGAGAGGGTGTGGGGTGGGAAGGGGTCAGGGAAGTCGGAGGGGAGA